GGGGTCGAAACGATATCTCCGCTCGAGAACAAAACTTTAGCAAAATATTCATCACGAAAATGACAGTCGAACATTAGCCTAAATACGAGCAGATTAAGGCAAAATAAACATCCATCGAAAAATATATGGTTAATAGTGAACCGACCAAGAAGGACGGTAATGTTCAAGGTTACAAACCATGGCACAACGGTCAAAAGAAATCAAGAATTAGCACGGGCACGCAGGCCCCAAAAAACGAACACGGGCATGCAGGCCCAAACAATAACTTAATGCTAAACATCCCCAGGACTACCGACATCTACATCAGGAGACTCGGGAGGAGGCACAACCTGACCATCAATAATCTGGGACAGAAACCCGACTCCGTCGGTGTTCATGCCCAGATTTAGGACGGATAGCTGACTGACCGCGGCCTCGAACCCGTCGACTAGGGCACTGACGCAGTCTGACTCGAGAAGGTGGATACGAGCAACCAAATCTGAGCGGGTGCGCAAAGAGGCTATCTCCTCTGGCTCGTCATCAACATGAAGCATAGCAGCTTTTAGCTCCTCGATTTCCTTGGACAGCCGTTGGTTGTCGCTCTCCAACCGTTCCTTGTCAAGTTGGAGGCAATCCCTCTCCTCGGAAGCCTTCGCGGTCTTCTCCTTCTCCCCTGATAGCAGGTCGGCCTGCTCACGAAACATCTCCTCGGACCGCTCGAGGGTTGCCTTCAACTTGCAAGATTTTGCAGCGAAAGCAGCCTTCTCCGATTCTAACTCCCTAACACGGTCCGAGGAATCTGATCCTTCCCCTGCAAGGACCACAGCCATCTCGTCCATCTTCACTACCCCTACCATGCTGGCGGTGAGTTGTTTCCTCTGGCCTTCTTTGTCGAGTCGTTTAATAATGTCGGCCTCGTTATCAAACACTGCCAGAGGAAACCCCTCGAAGAAATCCTTTTCCGCAAAACAGGGCGATAAGCCAAAGGCCCGGGCAGCTACGGGCTCATCGCCAGTCTTCGCCCTGCTCTTTGTCTGACCCCTCTTCCTCCCAACCAGCTCGGTCTGTTGCTCGGTGTCGGGGGAGCCCGAGGACCCACTTGACGCATCTCCGCCCGAACCAACAGGCGGGCCCATCCGCGTAGCCTGCGGTGCTCGCACCAGCCTCTTGCTTATCTTTTTGTCTTGGGTTAACTTCAACAGCCTCTCTCGACGTTCTTCCATGTGACCTACAAAGAAGAGCGAACTCGGGTTAGCTACAAGCGAGCAAAGGCAATAAAAATGGAATAAAACAATAAGAGCAGAAGCAAGAAACCTAGGATAAAAGTTATCAACAAACTTGCAAAGGACAGCATAGGCCTCCTCATCCTCGACACTCATGCTCCCCGCAGGGGTATGATAGTGCCCGATGCCATGCTCATAATGACCCGAGCACCAATGGATCGGGAACCTGGAGATCCGCCGGACTGCGGGACTACCCTCAGCATCCACAAGGGGCTCCCCGTCCCCGTCGACCACCACAGTTTCTGATTCGAATAGAGAATTCAGGGCAGTTTGGGTGGCCGGCTGCAACACGTACCATTTATCTTTGAAATCCCTCACCGAGTCCATGTACATCCTGAACAGTCTCTTTGATTGTTTAAGGGATACCCAGTTGTGTCTACCTCCTCGAGAATGACGCTGCAGATGAAAAACCCTAAAGAAAAGGGGAATCGTCGCCCCAATTCTCAGGAAACAGCAGGTTAGCTCGAACGCCCGAAGGAAGGCGATCGCGTTGGGGTGAAGCTGCGAGGGGGCCAGGTTCAGATGACTGAACACCCCGACTTGGAAGTCACTAAAAGGCAGCCTAAGACCGAGATCCCTGAATACAATCTCGTACATAGGGAACGCATATTCAGTAAACTCCGAGCAGATACGGGCGTCAATCGTCGACCTCATTATTCTAAAATTCTTTTGAAAACCTTCCTGAGTGTCGCCGTGCTCGACGACGGTATAAGCTCGCCGACTACGACGGCAGTACGCTGAAGCAATTCCCCGGGGCTCAACGCCCACCCAGTCCAGTGTAGGGTCGTCGATGGTATCGACCAAGGTAACGTTCTCTTCTGTACTTGTTTGCTCGACGTCATTATGTCTCAAGGATTCTAGATTATCGGCCATTTACCTGCAAAGCACTGGAAATCGGTGAATTCGACAGCAAATCCGCGTGCTCGCCACAAAGGCGGGGAGAGGTACACAATGCTCAAGTCGAAACTAAAGCCGAACACCGACACCCCAACTCCGACCACGCATCAATCATGGATAGCACGAGCGTAACATGAGCGCCCCGGGCGAATCATGAATCACGCGACCAAGTTCCTGACTTCACCTACCCGACACTAGAATACTGCGAGGAGACTACCCTACATACTCCCTAAAAGGATGAATATCCCGGCTAGGTTCACGAGTAAGCCGACCAAACACATGAGTATCACGGGAAAATCGTAAATCATACGCCTAAAACTATGCGTGCCTCGAGCACATCCATGAATCAGGCGCCTAGCGCGCTTAAATCTACCAGGCATTACTTCCAAATACAGGCTTTTAATATCAAAAATGTCGTCAAAAGCTATCTACAATACAGGGAAGCAGGAGGAAGGGATACTTACTTGGAAGAATAGGAGTACAAACAACGCAGGTGGAAGTGATCAACGGCGAATGGTGCGGCGGTCTAAACGGCTGTGGAAATAGAGAAAGAAGGAGGAGCGTGAAGAGAAAAAACAGATTATGGACCCAAGGGTCCTATTTATAGAGATGACGTGGAATGTGAAACGTCGCACCGGGGAGACACGAACTTCCCCCGTCCTCGACACCTACCCACCTAGGCAATAATGACCCTATTGACTAGGGCGGCGTTGCAATTCCCAAGGACTACACCACGTGTCCGACAGACGCAGCCCACATATCCCCGCGAGAATTCCTTGAGCACGCTTCGAAAGGCAAAGCCCTGGGTCAGGCATTAGGTCCCTGCGGAAGAGGCAAGCTGAGAACAAGTCATAACTCCTGTGCCAGGAACAACAACTTGGAGGGCTCATGTTCTGAACTGGGCCCGCATTGGCCCAAAGTACAAGTAAAGGCCCAGATCCAGGCAGGTCCTCGAGGACTGCTCGTAATCAGACCATCCCGAGCGTGCCCGACCACAGACTACAGCAGCAATGCCCGCAGTTACCCGCAACGAGCAGCGTCCCCAACCAGGGGAAATCCAGCTCGGGTCTTGCTCGAGCATTTTCCCCGTATGGCAGATTGTGTCCCCTCCGAACGATACGGGATCCCTAAAGCTCCGGAAAGACCGCGTCTTCGTTCTTCCTCATTCTTCGCAGAGCACCATCCAGAAAGGGGGCCATGTGCGGATCCCCACTACACACGTAGAACCTGACAGTCCCTTTATTGGGCCAGTTCTGATCGGCCTAATGAGGGGACCTTGGCCCAGCGCTGGGGGCTATAAATACCCTTTGTTCCAAGAGGGTCAGGTATTCATTCATTAGACACCTACGTATTTTTTGTCTGCTCATTCTGTCTCTCATTTTATCATCTAGTGTCTTGCAGGTACCCCCCCCCCCCCCCCAATCTCATTCAAATCTAGTTCGAGCCAGCTGTGACGGTCCAAGTTTGATCCGGTAAGATCAGGAGGGAATATTGATGATCATAGTATTTGGTGGAGGATAGGGTTGAGGGAAAGAACGGTGAGGGATAGGTTGAGAACGAGGTCATGTGTTAAGGAAATTATAAGAAAAATTATTGGATGCATTAGAATTATTGAATGCCTATTGAAGCTTTGCTAGTTTCAATTAACATTTCAGATTTTAGGGTTCACGAATTACAAAGGAATATTAGAGAAGAAGAGAAATAATCGCAAATTGTACGTATTGATCATAGGTTCCATTTGTTGGCACCACACGACGAAGTTCTTTTCATCAAACTTTTCATGTCTTTGAATTGAAACAAGACATTGAAAAGATCTAAGGTAGAAGATGATGTCACTAATTGTATTGGTGTTACACACACCAGTGAAGGTGATGGGAGGTGATTTTGTTGCCCAATAATAACCAGTGAAGGTGGTGGGAGGTGATTTTGTTGCCCAATAATAACCAGTGAAGGTGGTGGGAGGTGATTTTGTTGCCCAATACTAACCCGGCTCTAATACCATGTAATATTAGAGGAAGGAGAGGGGAAAATGTTTCACTACTTTAAAAAAGTTGTTGTAAAACGAATTTGATTAAAAGAGTGATTAGAATTTATATAACATTCTTAATCGTGCAACACTTGGTGTCATAACCTACACCTAGTCATAGGCAAAGGAAGCTTCTAATTATCACCAAAGTTATTCCACTTTGAGCGGAATTTCTAAAACCAAATAATTTCTAATTGGAATGGGATTAACTCAAACTCAGACCACAACTTCGTATGGTCTGTTTCTAGAGAAGAGGATAAGGGGAAGACTATCAACTGATTTCACATATTCAATCTTTTGCATGATCGTTTGCTTTCGCGTGGAAGATATTTCCTAATTACCACCTTACTACTAATTGTCACATCCCATTTTAAAATATATTGATTCTAAATCAACAATAAAATGGAAAAATAGCTGCCTTATTTTTTTAGGAGGGTCTCCTTAGATGGCTGGAAGCAATCCCTGTGTACAATTTTTTGTAATGAATTTTGCATTAGTTTGAGTTACAAGACATGAATGAGCACACCAAAAAAGCAATTACATAAAGACGCTACACTAAAACAAATGATTAATTGCTCATAGGCCCTGATGTTCCATTACATAAGATGGGTGAGTCTTACACTAACTTGCAAGGATGCCTAGAAAACTTGGAGCAAGAACCTCACCTGGGTCATGCAAAAGCAGGCCGGGCCGGGCCCTGTGATCCTTGACCGGCCCGTAAAACTGGTAAGCCCCAGACTACAAAAGATTGAGCTATACATACAACATTACTTCAGCAAATGAAAAAATTGATGGCAAGAACTGCAGCTACACAACTACTCCTCTTTCACGTCTAAAGACTGCAGTTCAGCTAAAAGCTGATTATATTCATTTTGGGCTTCCTCTATTTTACTTCTAAGCTGCACCACCTGTACAATCATAGCCATTACTCTTAGATCACTATGTACAATAAAAAATCCACTCTTTACAAACACCCGAAAGATACAAACTTCAATCATATAATTTATGAAGATTTGTGTCTTTTTAAATATTATTTAGAATAATTTTTTTAATGCAGAATCCAAGAATCCTAGTACAATGTACAAAAGCTGTTCTCTATGGATTAGGCAACAGGAAAATTACCTTGGAATTAAGTTCTTCGCCTCTCTTTTCCAATTCCAAACATCTGCAGGGAAAGAAGAGTACAAATAAAATACATAACTTCCATTTGTAATTCAAAGTAGGAGAAATGAACTGAGTTGGATAAATGTTGCCGAAATCAAAAGAAGAGAGTGAAACCAATTCAGCTTGCTAGACAATAGTATTTTATACAATCAAGTATTAGCAAACTGGCAGTAAGTAGATATGCACTCACTCTGTATGTAGTTTCATATTTTCTTGCATCAACTTTATAGTCTCTGGGTTTGCAACCTGGTCTGCAGGAGTTATCGTGATCTACATAAAATTCAAGGGTGAAATGGAATTAAATACTTTACAAATAACTAAATTGCAGATTCTAAAGTTCAAGGAAATCAAGTAACTAATCAAAGTGGAAAACATATTCTATACAACAAACAATGTCGGTAAACTGGAAAAGATGGAGCATATGAGTGTCAATAAAAGGACAAATCGGTACTATAAAGCTCCAACTACAGTAGGGACACTATTAATCATCCAATGGCCATTGTAATACAATTAACGACTAATCTAATGCTATTTTTTTAGTATTTATATATTCTGTTTGAATTTTTGTTTGGTTTTTATACTGTTTTTCTTTTTTTCCAAAACAAGTGAAACACCGAAAACAATTTTAGTCGATGTTTTTTATGAATAAATCTTTGAAATACAAAACAAGTGAAAGCAATATAGAAGTTAAGTAATTAAAACTGAAAAGTAAACATTATTTGAAACCAAACCGACTATAAAATGTTTTAGAACACATTTTAGGAAAAGTTTGATCAAAATAATAAGTGTTGAAGATTAGCACATATCAAATCATAATCATTTGATTTTGATTTGTCAAACTGTTACAAAGCAGTGGTGTAAATAGATTAATTATCTATTATTGTCATTTCCTTATTTAGGTAGAAGCAATTATAGGAAATTATTTCTCTGTTTATTAACAAATTAGTGCATTGTATTCTATATATACCTCAAAATGTAACAGTTCCAACATCAATGAAATATACAACATATTTTTATATGGTATCATAGCACAAGATCTGAACCATCCCTAAACCTTGAGCACCACCCATGACAGATACTAAAGCAGAAAATTCAGCCCACAGATTGGCTGAAGGACGTGCTCTTCCTATCATTGGTGACAAATTGAATAGCCAGAATTACAATCAATGGGTGCACTCAGTCAAAATGTACCTTCAAGGAAAAGGGAAGGAAGGTTATATCACAGGAGACTCCAAGTGTCTAAAAAAGGGGGATTCCAACCTTGAAAAATGGCAACTAAAAAACAGTCTAGTAATGTCATGGCTGCTAAACACCATGACAAATGAAATTGGAGAAAATTTCTTGTACTATGACACTGCCAAAGAGATGTGGGATGTCGTAAAGGAAACCTACTCTAGTATCGACAATACATCTGCAATTTTTGAAATCAAGAGCATACTCCATGACTTGCGTCAAGATGACCGCTCAGTCAGAGTATTTTAATACTCTCAATCGTCACTGGCAGCAACTGGATGTATATGAAGTTGAATGGAGCTGCACAGAGGATAAAAAGAAGTACAAAGAATTGGTGGAGAAAGATAGAGTCTACAAATTTCTCTTAGGTTTGAACACAAAACTTGATGAAGTTCTTGGCAGAATCCTTGGAACCAAACCTCTTCCAAACATTCGAGAAGCATTCTCGGAAATACGAAGAGAGGAGAGCAGGAGAAAAGTGATGCTTGGAAAATCCAGTGCAGTCCCATCTATAGAAGGATCTGCAATGGCAGCAAGGGGAGATCAACGATCTTTCCAAAAGAAAACTCGGCCTTGGTGTGACCACTGCAAGAAACCGGGTCATACCAAGGACACATGCTGGATCATTCATGGAAAACCATCAGGGCTAAAATGGACCAAAAACTGGGACAGCAGAGGGAACACAGCTGAGGTAAATTCTCACTCATCACCATTCAACAAGGAGCAAATGGAAGCCTTACAAAAAATGCTTCAACAAACAATTGGTACAACTACTGTGGCACAAAAAGGTAATTTTTTGCATGCTCTAAACACTAGCAGGGGAAATCAAAAATCATTGATTATTGACTCGGGAGCATCTGATCACATGACTGGAGATTTGACTGTCTTTGATAGCTATTCTCCATGTCAAAATAATTCGACTGTTCGAATTGCTGATGGTACCCTTTCTAAGGTCATGGGTAAAGGTTCAGTCATTATTTCACAAAATATTACTCTTAGTTCAGTTATGTATGTGCCTAAACTTAATTGTAACTTGTTGTCCATCAGTAAACTTACAAAGCACTTGAAGTGTATCACTAAATTCTTTCCTAACCTGTGTGAATTTCAGATTTTGGAGTCGGGGGAGGATGATTGGCAATGCTAAAGAATGTGTTGGACTCTATATCCTTCAGGCTGAAGCATCTAAACCAGAATGTGAGGCAGCCTCTTGCGCTGTAGTTTCTGCATGTAGTGAAAATTCGGCAATGTTGTGGCACTATAGACTTGGCCACCCAAATTTTATGTACTTGGAAAAAATGCTTCCTAAACTATTCAATAAAAATCAGAAGTTGTTTCAATGTGAAATTTGTCAATTGTCCAAACATACACGCCGCCCCCACCCACCTCAACCCTATAAACCTTCCAAACCTTTTTATGTTATTCATAGTGAAGTATGGGGACCATCGCGGGTCAGAAATGTAACTGGAGAAAGATGGTTTATCACCTTTATTGATGACCGCACACGAATCACTTGGGTCTACCTTATGAAAGATAAATCGGAAGTTGGTAGGATATTTGAATGTTTCCATACCATGGTGGAAACACAATTTCAAAGCAAAATTAGACTGCTTAGGAGTGATAATGGTCGTGAGTAATATAATTCTGCACTAAGCTCATACTTTACGCAACATGGAATAATACACCAAACCTCATGTGTGGATACACCTCAGCAGAACGGGGTTGCCGAGAGAAAGAATAGACACCTCCTAGAAGTAACCCGATTTCTCATGCTAGCTACAAATGTATCTAACCAGTTTTGGGGATAAGTTGTCCTCTCTGCAACCTATCTAATAAACAGAATTCCTTCCCGAATCCTTAACTTTCATACGCCTTACTCCACTCTCCAAACCTTATACCCAACCAATCGTATTCTTACATCTATTCCTTCTAAAATATTTGGATGCACAACCTTTGTCCATAATCTTGATCCCCAACGCAGTAAACTTGACCCGAAATCCATTAAATGCATATTCCTCGGCTACTCTCCTCACCAAAAGGGATACAAATGTTATTCACCTCAAAACAAAAAATTCTACCACACCATGGATCTAACCTTTTTTGAGAATCAGCCATATTACCCCAAAATTGGCATTCAGGGGGAGAACACCTTTCCAATTGAAGTGGTAGAATCTCAACTTTTGGAGCTTGAACTAACTGAACCCAAACTCACTGCAGAGGCATCAAAACCTACACCTGAACCCAATGAAAATGCAACAAAAACTACAGAACCTACATGTGGACCAGATGAAACTACGTCAGAAAATACAGAGGAGATTGCAGTAGAAACTGCAACCCCTACAACAGAAATTGCACCAAGAAACAACGTGAAAGTGTACTCCAGGAAGAGCAAGAAGGGAATAGAGTCCTGCACAGCTCCAAGGCAGAACCAAGAAACCTCCAAGACTCCAGAAAATGGCGTTCCCTCAGGTAATACTACTCTTAACTCTGTGAACGTTGATGATATTGATATTCCTATTGCGTTGAGAAAAAATGTAAGATCTTGTATCAAATATCCCATTGAAAGATTTGTATCTTATGGAAAATTGTCCCAAAGTTACAAGACCTTTGTAACAGCTCTTGACAATACACATATTCCAAGCAACATCCATGAGGCACTCCAAAATTCTGAATGGACAGCAGCCGTAACGCAAGAGGTTCATGCCTTAATTAAGAATGGCACTTGGGAGATCACAAGCCTACCTGCAGGGAAAGCCGGTAGGATGCAAATGGATATTCTCCATGAAGTATAATGCAGATGGGAGTGTAAATTGGTACAAAGCTCGACTTGTAGCAAAGGGATTTACTCAATCATATGGAGTAGATTATGAAGAGACCTTTGCACCGGTGGCAAAACTAAACTCCGTTAAATTCTTCTCTCTTTGGCTGCAAATTTAGATTAGTCACTCCATCAACTAGACATCAAGAATGTATTTTTAAATGGTGACCTAGAAGAGGAAGTTTATATGCAGATCCCTCCTGGACTCGAATCATCCAGCACCACAAATATGGTGTGCAGGCTCCGAAAATCCCTTTATGGCCTCAAGCAGTCTCCAAGGGCGTGGTTTGATAGATTGACTCGAGTGTCAAGAAAGACGGGTTCAACCAATGCCAATCAGATCACACTATGCTTGTTAAACACTCCATGGAAGGAAAGGTAGCTTTGTTTATTGTTTATGTGGATGATATCGTTATTACAGGAAATGATTATGATCAAAATGATCATTTAAAGGGACTCTTGGCAAAGGAATTTGAAGTTAAGGACTTGGGACAACTTAAGTATTTTTTAGGGATGGAAGTTGCTCGAACAAAGGATGGTATCTATGTATCACAAAGGAAATACACCCTTGACTTACTTCAAGAAACTGGAATGCTTGGGTGCAAGGCAGCTAATACACCAATAGAACAAATAAAAGGAAGAGAAGATGAAAGTCCACCAGCCGACAAAGATAGATATCAAAGTCTAGTTGGGAAACTAATCTACCTATCTCACACTAGGCCCGACATTGGGTTCGCTGTAAGCTTGGCTAGTCGCTACATGTCAAATCCAACCGAGTCTAGCATGAAAATGGCGAATAGAATCCTCCAATACCTCAAAGGCACACCAGGCCGAGGCCTCCACTTCAAGAGGAATTCAAACAGGGACATTGAAGTTTATACAGATTCAGATTGGGCAGGATGCTCCACAGACAGAAAATCGACTACAGGTTATTGTTCATTTGTGTGGGGGAACCTAGTAACTTGGCGAAGCAAGAAACAATTTGTAGTGGCGAGGAGTAGTGCAAAAGCAGAATTTAGAGCTATGGCCCTAGATGAAATCAAAATTCAAATGAACCATACTGTGAGGTTACTATGTGATAACAACGCTGATATAAGCATTGCAAAGAACACAGTCCAACATGATAGAACAAAACATGTGGAAATTGACCGACACTTCATTAAAGAAAAAATTGATCATAAGATTATAAGTATGGATCATATCCCATCATGCAAGCAAACGGCAGATATCTTAACCAAAACTCTTCCAAGGAATACTTATGAAAATATCAAATCCAATCTGGGTATGATAGACATCTACCACCCAGATTGAGGGAAAGTGTTGAAGATTAGCACATATCAAATCATAATCATTTGATTCTAATTTGTCAAGTTGTTACAAAACAGTGGTGTAAATAGATTTATTATCTATTATTGTCATTTTCTTATTTAGGTAGAAGCAATTATAGGAAATTATTTCTTTGTTTATTAACAAATTAGTGCACTGTATTTTATATATACCTCAAAATGTAACAGTTCCAACATCAATGAAATATACAACATATTTCTATAATAAGTATGGATGAAATGTAGATATTTCAACATAATGACCAAGAAGCCAATAAATTTATAGGAAAAGTATGCTCAAAATAATAAGTATGCATAAAATGTAGATATTTCAACATAATGACCAAGAATACAGACCTGTTTATTCTGACTGAAACCAATACCAGTTACATATTCTTCACTTGCATGTTTTTTCCTCTTCTGAAGGTCTATCGGTTCATCTGTCTTCCTCTTATTATCATATCCTGAATAACAACGAAGCAACATTAGTTTGATGAAATTGGATATGCTAGTGACGCCACAAAAGCAATTAAATTGCTCGGATCTGCTTTGAGGATTCATTTTGTTTCGATCAAATTCCAATATCTATTGAAAACAGGGAAGAAACTTCTGTTTTTTAAGAATGGTTATTCAATACCAAGTGATTTCTGCAAATAAGGAAGTGGTTGGGTAACTGGAGTTCGAGTCTTAACTTCCGGCCGATACCCAATTAGTCTACAATGAGTATCCCTGCAGAATTTAAAGAGAGACTTGTACATGTCAGATATTACGCTTAAAAATAATAAAACTATTCTATGGTAAAATCACTGTAAGTCCTTATAGTTTTCTTAAATCTTTTATCAGGTCCTAATACTATAGGGGTGCGTTTAGTGTCTAGGATATGATAACAAGGACGTTAATTAAAGTAGGAGCTGATATGAATTTGATAAGCTTTATCCCTTCTAATGATGTGCACCCAAAAATCCACCAAATAGGTGGCAGCAATAATAAAAGTATGAGTTCAATAACCGCAGTGGTAGTGAAGAATGATACAACTGGTGGCAGAGGGTGTTGAATGACGGTGATGGTGTTTGGAGTGAAAGCTGTTGGCGACCGGAGGCAATAGAGTGTGCCGGGGGGAAGAGGTTAAGGGTTCCGAGAACATAGATTGCCTAGCATAGGTAGTGGAGGGAATTGGGAAACAATGACGAGGATGGTGTCGGGAGGCAATTAAGCTGGTGGTGGAGGATGCTGGCCAGGACGTGTCGCCAGGAGAGAAGTGAAAGAAAAGAAAGAGAGGAAAGTTAGAGTAAAGTTGAAAAAGTGAGAAAAGAATATCATATTCTTGCCTTGAGGAACTATGGATCACTCCTTATATTATAATTATAATTTTTATCCTGGACACCAAAACAACTCTGAAGGTTTTAAGCAGAAAAACCATTTTACTAATTTTAGTAGTTTAATAACATAGCTGAGTCATTCCTCATAATTCACTCAAACTTTCATGTAAGTTTGTATATAATATAATAATGATGGTTAAAGGAGCCTAATTAAAAATCATCAAGAGCAATAGGACACTATTAAAACTTTTAAACCACAAGGATCTCATTGAAAAATCAATGATCTATAAGGGACTTTGATAGCGCACAAACTAAGGAGAAGGGTAAACCCGTCATTTGGAGAGTTTATCAAAGGAGAAATAAAACAAAATAAGTAATATAATATTAGTGTGTTAGATTAAATTCAAATAGTTAGTTATTGGCTGATGTGTGGATTGTATTTAAGTTGTTGTTTATTGTCTATCAAAGGAGAAATAAAACAAATAAGTAATATAATATTAGTGTGTTAGTTTAAATTCAAATAGTTAGTTATTAGCTGATATGTGGATTGTATTTAAGTTGTTGTTTATTGTCTTTCATGATATGTGGGAAGTTTCTTTGGAAGTTACTAGGCCAGAAGAAGTTATCTTCTGAGAGAGCAAACTGCTCTTGTAGTTTTTCAGATTGTATTTCATTTGTTCTATCAATAAAAAATCGCAAGTTCCTTGCAATTTCCCTTTCTCTTTATTCCTGTTCTATCGGGCACTGTTAGTTTCTATCAAATTGGTCCGACCTACCGGATGCCACCAAAGAAGATGGAGGCCAAAGTAACTGCACTTGAAGAGAAAATCGCAACTTTGGAGGTTTCTTTACATGAAATAGAAAATCAAAATAAAGATAATCAGGAGAAGATCATCTCTTTATTAAATTCGCATAAGGAGAAGGATGTGGAAGAGTCATCGCACAATCATGATTCAGTTGGTACCAAAAAGAAAAATTCGGACTTACATGGTGAAGCTTTGGATGAATTCTGCCGATCTGTGAAGAAGGTGGAATTACCGATGTTTCATGGTGATGATCCTGCTGGTTGGATCGCTAGGGCTGAAGTCTATTTCAATGTGCAGAATACTATACCAGAAATCAAAGTGAATCTGGCACAATTATGTATGGACGGTCCTACAATCCATTTTTTTAAAGGACTGTTGGAGGAGAATGAAACATTGACATGGGATAATTTGAAAGATGCACTTCTTGAGAGATATGGTGGTGTAAGTGATGGGAATGTATTTGAACAACTTTCTGCGCTTCAACAGGAAGGAACAATTGAAGAATACATTGAAGATGTTGAGAGGTTGGTAGCACAACTGCCCCGATTACCCAATGACCAATATTTGGGTTATTTCGTTCATGGTTTGAAGGAAAAAATCCGGGGAAAGGTTCGCAGCATGATTGCTATGGGTCCTATGTCAAGAACGAAGTTAATCAACGTGGCTTGAGCAGTAGAACGCGAATTGGAACAAGGGCGAAGAGACTGGACACCGCGAAGGTCACATGGGTCACTATCCCGACCTGTTTTTGGAGGAAAATCAACAGGTGATCTGCGTGGAATGTCTGGTTTAGGACAAAACAAAACTCATACTGTCAGCACTGGAAATTGGCGTGACAGAACTGTGAGGAATCTGTCTTCACAGGAGATTGCTGACCACCATCAAAAAGGGCTTTGTTTTAAATGTGGAGGTCAGTATCATCCTCGCCATCAATGCCCTGATAAAAATCTGTGTCATGGTGCTTGAGGATGACTCTGAAGATGAAAACGAAGTCAGAGTGTTGAATGATGAAGATGTTGAAACAGGTGCAGAAGAATTGCAATTGAATGTGCTGACTTTTGCAAATATATTTACTTTTGATAAACAAACTGAGTATTATCAAGATAAGCTTCAATGCATCAAGTTGCAAGGGATGGTAGGAGCGTTACCGGTACTGATGTTGGTTGATAGTGGAGCAAACAAAAACTTCATGTCAAGGCGTCTAGCTTTGGCTTTGGGTTTACAAATTACGGGAACTCCGGCTAGACAAATCAGATTGGGTGACGGTTATGCGGCTCCGACGTTAGGAGAGTGCCAATGTGTAATTATTTCTATTCAAGGGGTAAAATGGGAGATAGATGTTGTGCTGTTTGAGTTGGGCGGTTATGATCTAATATTGGGGATGGCATGGCCGACACAAATTGAATGCACATATATTGATTGGGTTAAGAAGAAAATGTGTTTCACATACCAGGGGGAATGGATTGAGATCAGAGGGGTTCAATACTAGAGAGTGCACTCCATTACAGAACTATGTTGATGAAAACCGTTTTGCCCAGTTGCATTGTGATATCCAGTTAGGTATGGTGACACCAACTCAACAATTGGAGATGAAATCAGTACTGCACAGGTTTGAGAATGTTTTCAAGGAACCACAAGGATTGCCTCCTGAACGACAGCAAGAACATGCTATACACTTGCTGACCGGCCAGGGCCCAGTTAATGTTCGACCGTATCGCTACCCTCACCACCACAAGACAGAAATTGAGAAGCAAGTGAATGAGTTGCTGCTGTCCGGTGTGATCAGACCTAGCCAAAGTGTTTTTTCAAGTTCGGTTATTCTAGTCAAGAAGGATGACTCTTGGAGGATGTGTGTTGACTACCGTGCTTTGAATAAGGTAACTATTCCGGATAAATTCCCTATTCCAGTCATTGATGAGTTATTGGATGAGTTACATGGTGCACGATATTTTTCCAAAATTGCTCTTAAGTCTGGCTACCACCAAGTACGCATGCGACAAGAAGACATTCATAAAACAGCTTTCCGCACTCATGAGGGTCATTATGAATTCTTAGTGATGCCTTTTGGTTCCATCCACCTTTCAAGCATTAATGAATGAAGTTTTCAAGCCAATGTTGCGGAGGTATGTGTTAGTATTTTTTGACGACATTTTGGTGTATAGTATGACGCAGGCAGACCATATTCTGCATGTGAATTCAGTTTTAACTGTGCTAGCTTGGTGGCCAATAAAAAGAAATGTTCGTTTGGCCAATTGTCGGTCGAGTATTTGGGTCACGTGATTTCTCATGAAGGGGTATCTATGGATCCATCAAAAATCAGCAGTGTGTTAGAATGGCCTGTGCCAAAGAATGTCAAAGGTGTCAGAGGTTTTCTGGGTTTGACCGGGTATTACAGAAAGTTCATTCGTGACTATGGCAAGATTGCAAGACCATTAATTGATTTGACTAAGAAAGAGGGTTTTAAGTGGGGAAACAAGGAAAAAGCAGCTTTTGAGGAACTTAAGCACAAAGTAACTTCAGCCCCAGTTTTAACATTGCCTAACTTCACCAAAGAATTCTTCATTGAGAGTGATGCGTCCGGTAATGGGTTGGGTGCAATCTTGATACAAGACAAGAAGCCTATCGCATTTTTCAGCAAGGGACTCAGTGATCGTAATTTGAACAAATCAGCGTATGAAAAAGAATTAATGGCTGTGGCGCTCGCAATCCAACATTGGCGCCCATATCTCATAGGGAACAAGTTCACGGTGTGCACAGATCAAAAGAGTTTGAAACAATTAATGCAGCAGCGTGTAACCACAATGGATCAACAAAATTGGGTGGCTAAGCTTTTGGGATATCAATTGGATGTAGTCTATAAACCTGGTCTTGAGAACAAGGGTGCTGATGTGTTGTCCCGTCAGTTTGATACTTCTCCAAACAACACCATGGCGGTCCTTGCTGATTCCGATGACCGGTTAATACTTAATTCTATGATTTTCCGTCCTGAATGGTTAGATTTCAAGGCTGTCCATGAAGAAGTACAACAGGATCTAACATTACAGATAATCATTTCTGGCGTTACAAAAGGGGGAAACCACAAAACCTGGGTTTGGACTACAGAATGGGGTTCTTTTATATCAGGACAGATTAGTTATGTCTGCTTCATCTACTTTTGTTCCTACAATTCTCAAGGAATTTCACAGTACCCCTCAGGGTGGGCATTCCGGGTTTTATCGCACTTATTGCCATTTGGCGGCTAATTTGTATTGGATTGGTATGAAGAAGGATATCTAGAATTTTGTGCAGCAATGTACTGTCTGTCAATGCAACAAGTATGCAACTTCAACACCAGGTGGTCTTCTCCAGCCACTTCCAATACCAAATCAAGTGTGGACGGATATTTCTATGGACTTCATTACTGGTCTTCCAAAGTCCAAGGGATTCGAAGCTATCTTTGTGGTGGTAGACAGGCTGTCCAAATATGCGCATTTCGTCCTTCTTAAGCATCCCTATTCTGCAAGAACTTTGGCTGAAACTTTCACCAAAGAAATGGTCTGACTTCATGGAATTCCGGAATCTATTGTGAGTGACAGAGATCCCATCTTTGTTAGTAATTTCTGGCAGGAACTCCTTAAACAGCAAGGTAGATATTTGAAGTTGAGCACTGCATACCGCCCTCAGACTGATGGTCAGACAGAAATCGTTAACCGTTGTCTGGAGACTTTTCTTCGCTGTTTTATTGCTGACCAGCCTAAGACTTGGGCCATGTGGCTTTCATGGGCAGAATATTGGTACAACATTACTTTTCATGCTTCTACAGGTACAACTCCATTTGAAGTGGTGTATGGTCGTTCCCCTCCGGTAATCACTAATTATTTACCGGGTGAAGTTAAAGTGAAGGCTGTTCAACGAGACTTGGCTGATCGTGATGAATGCTTGCGACAATTGAGGCATCATCTATCCCGTGCTCGTGACCGGATGAAGACACAAGCAAATAGACATCGGAAAGAAGCTTTTTTGAAGTTGGTGACTTGGTTTTCTTGAAGCTGAGACCTCATGTGCAACAATCCGTTGTGGCTACAATCTGTCCCAAGTTGTCTCCAAAGTATTTTGGTCCGTTTAAGGTGATTGAACGTGTTGGGGCTGTTGCTTACAGGTTGGAGTTACCTCCTACATTCGGATCCATCTTGTTTTCCATGTTTCCTTGCTTAAGAAAGCGGTTGGTGATGCTGTTGTTAATCCAACTCTCCCTGCTAGTTTAGAGGTTAATGCATACTCCATGTGGGAACCAGAGACAGCTTTGGATCAAAGGACAGTGGTCCGACATGGTATATCTACGTTATCAAGTTCTTATCCATTGGAAGAACAAGCCTATTGAGGAAGCTACTTGGGAAGATAAGGACTTCATCACTTTACAATTTCCTTCCTTCAACCTTGAGGACAAGGTTGTTTCTCTTGGAGGCGGCAATGATAGCGCACAAACTAAGGAGAAGGGTAACCCCGTCATTTGGAGAGTTTATCAAAGGAGAAATAAAATAAATAATATAATATTAGTGTGTTAGTTTAAATTCAAATAGTTAGTTATTGGCTGATGTGTGGGTTGTATTTAAGTTGTGTATTGTCTTTCATGATATGTGGGAAGTTTATTTGGAAGTTACTAGGCCAGAAGAAGTTATCTTCTGAGAGAGCAAACTGCTCTTATAGTTTTTCAGATTGTATTTCATTTGTTCTATCAATAAAAAATCGCAAGTTCCTTCCAATTTCCCTTTCTCTATGTTCCTGTTCTATGGGGCACTGTTAGTTTCTATCAAACTTATGGGAAAAGTCAACTATTTTTTAAATAATACATGTGGGTTGGTTAAGAGACACGACGATTTACCAATTAATCCAAATCAAACACTTGCGTGTTTTAAAAGTAGAGAATATGTGAGTAAGACAGGATGTGGGAGTGGGACAAACATAAATAGAGAATGCAGACAAAAACACAATACCAGTACTCCCATGTCATTGACTTTAATCGCGCTTCTAGCTTTTGAAACAAGGAAGTTCTCTCAAAATCTTGTTTATCATGAGTTGGCTCAACAAAATCTGCTTGCATGATACCTATGACAAGGATAACATAGTTAGGACCCCCTTACAGATTCAGTATATCTATAAGAGTTCTGTTATTTTGCAGTGGGACAACAAAAATTGACGATAATCTATCAACGTCAACCAGAACTTGTCGTTGCACAGTAATGAGTTACTCACCAACAACTCCTCTGCCTCTACTGTCTGAATATCTTACAACCTGCCAAAATGGCTGACATATTGAAAAGGCAACAATAACATTAGCATTTGCGAGGTGGAGGAGAAAAGGACACAATACAGGACAATGTTTACGGAGAGAAAGAAATACAAGTAATAGATAGTGCTAAATTTGAATTTTACTTGTCAAGTACTTGATACGCTGTATGAGCATTCAGAATTCAAAACAACTTATAATGCTTAGTTTTAAAGCTTCAACCGGAGTACTGAAAAATTGAATGGAAATAAACTCTCACTTCTTTGGTGTCTTGGGCATTAAAAAGGTGATTTTTACAGTGACATGTCTCTTGGGTCAATACATGGCTTCTTTAGATCTTTACAGGCATCTTCTTAATAAAACGTGCAGAGATAAAATTTTCTCATGTGGAGGTTCTATCCTTCTATTTATTTAAAACACTTATCTTCTAATAAAATATGACTTATCATCTCAAAAAATAAATACAATTTTTAGTTCTCATTGCATGCTTTATTATCAAACAATATATTCTAACCACTGCTAGTCAATCAAACAACCTTTCCTATTTAGTCTTATTTACCAACTAAAATAATCTATTTTGTCATAAAAATTGAAAAGTTAAGGCTCCTGGATTTATGGCATGAGCTCCAATTTGATCTCCTTGTAGATGTTTAACTACAAAATATATAATCAATTACCGTTTCTTTTCCTTATTATTTGATAACAGTTTCTTGTAAGCAAAATGTCACTTTTATAACTAATGTGTAGGTCAGCTTCTCAGAAAAGTCCAGGTGCAAAATGCCCATAATGCAAGTGAACCTTCTATAGTATGAAAATTAGGGGGTAGGAGGGCCTAATATAGTAATATCCATGTATAAAACTAATTATAGCCATGTACAGGGCCTGCAACTAAGACCCGGGCAAGTATGAAAGGTAGAAAATATACTGATGACTTATCATTGTATTGGGCCTAAATCAATCTTATAAAACCGGCTTGTAAATTGAGGGCTGCCCCAGCTTTGTAAACACTATACGGACCATATCTATAAGTAATATGGGACTAAATTCACCCTTCACGCCCAACTCAATGTAGGGATTGGAGGCAGATTGCAATGAACCGTAGACTATGCGTGAAGCCAACAAAAGATCTAGGATATGCCCTGATGTCATCTTAGGAAATTTGGGTTGAGACTAACTCAATCTTACAGAACCGCTTGTAAAGTGAGGGTTGCTCGAGCTTTGTAAACACTACATGAACCATATCTCTAGGTAATGTAGAACTAAATCCACCCTTTCACACCTAACACGGTGAAGGTGTTGGAGGTTGCAATGAAGGCAACCCAAATGCCGCAATGAAGGTAATATAATTTGTTAGAATCTGTTTTATTAGCTGTATTATTTCTGTCAGAATCAGTGTTTTATTAGTTGTATTATTTCCTTATTTAGCAGATTACAATTATAGTGTATGAGGGAAATATCCCTGAATCATAAGGATCTGATAGTTTAGGTGTTATTGTATTTCCTAAAATAGCTTTCTAGCCTTGTATATATGACTGATGTATTCTCGGCATAAAATATATTAAAAAAAATCAATTCATTCTACCCTAATTTTTGAGATGGCATCAGAGCTCTCAAATTCTGGGAGCCGCCTCTGACTGCGCAAACCAAAACCCTAGACGGCAGCCTTCATTGCTGCCAATCATCCTTTTTTAGTACAACCTTCATTGTTGTCCATCATTCCTTTCAGGGCAGCCTTCATTGTTGTTGTGATTTGTAGTGTTGTTCCTTTGTTGTCGTTGCAACAATCAAATACATCCTCACTGCATTGAGGTTGTTGTACTGTTGTGGCCATGGCAAACCCAACTCATGAAGTGGTGCAGAAAACTCAGGAAGAGCTACAGAACATCAACACTGCCTACTGATTGAATAGGAAGAATTACTTGAAATGGTCCCAGCTTGTTGGCAAAACTTTGAAAGGTAAAGGGAAAGTTAACCACTTGACTGATGACGCCCCTAAAGAAGGAGACCCCAAATTTAAAAAATGGGACGAAGAGGACTCTATGATCATGGAATGGCTATGGAACTCAATGATCCCAGAACTCACTGATACTTGTATGTTTCTTAATTCTACAAAGGAGATTTGGAAGGCCATGGAGGAGTCATACTCCAAAGCTAAAAATGCTGCTCAAATATATGACGTGAAGGTGAAGACTATGGCTGCAAAGCAGGGAAACAAGATTGTTACAGAGTACGCCAATCAACTCAAATCATTGTGGATGGAGTTAGATCACTACAGGGTCATAAAAGCCAAGTGCCCAGCAGATTCAGCAATGCTCAAAGAGTATATTGAGCAAGATAGAGTCTATGATTTCTTGGTGGGGCTTAACTCTGTTTTTGATCAAGTGAGAGCCCAGATCCTTGGAAAAGAAAAAGTTCCAGGAATTAATGAAGTAGTAGCTATGGTCAGAAGTGAAGAAAGCAGAAGGGGAGTCATGCTAGAAAACCTAACCACGGAAGATTCAACCATGGTAGCTTCTGGGGCCTTGGCCATGATGGCAGACCAGAAAAAAGGGGGCATAAGTAATATGGAAAAGAAAGGTGAAGGAGTGTGGTGTACCTACTGCAACAAGCCTCGCCACACTCGTGACAACTGCTGGAAGCTGATCGGAAAGCCACCTAGTAGAGAATGGGGGCCCTAAAACCGAGACAGGGAGTGGGGATAAAAAGGAGACAACACAAGAAAGGGAGGACAAGCACACATAGTTGCTGCAACCAATGAAGAAAAGAAGGGAGGAGTGATTCAACTTAACCAAGATGAAGTGGAGAAGATGAGATCATTCCTCAACAAGTTGGATAAACCAGCAGGTAGTTGTTCTCTAGCATATTCAGGTACGTTTGGTGAGATTCTTCTTTCCTTTGGACTTAATGCCTCAGATAAACACTATAACCAATACTGGATACTGGATTCTGAGGCTACTGACCACATGACACCCCTAACTAAACATTTCTCCTCTTACACCCCTTGCCCTAGCAATAAGAAAATATCCACGGCAGATGGCACTCTGATGACTGCAGCAGGTCAAGGAGAAGTTCAAATAAGCTCATCCAAAACCCTTAAAAATGTCCTTCATATTCCTAAACTATCTGTCAATCTGATTTCCATAAAAAAAACTCATAAAAGACCTAACGTGTAATGTTATTTTTTATGACAATGCTTGTATACTGCAGGACAAGCACTCGGGGAGGACGATTGGACATGCTAGAGAATGGAATGGCCTTTATTACTTGGACAGTCAGAATCTGCCACCAGACCTACAAAATAGCAACTCTTTTTTCTGACTCAATAAAGACCAACAGGGAGAAAGTCCTCCTACGTCATTGTCGTCTTGGACATCCTTTCTTTAGAGTCATAAAATTGTTATTCCCTTCTCTTTGTAGCAAATTAGATGTGGAGAGTCTTCATTGTGAAGTGTGTGAGCTTGCTAAGCACAAGCGTGTACCTTTTCCAGTTAGTAATAATATGAGCATTTTCCCCTTCTATTTAATTCATACTGATGTGTGGGGTCCCTCAAATGTCCCAAATGTTTCCGGTGCCCGTTGGTTCCTTACCTTTATAGATGACTGTACTCGGGTCACATGGGTTTTCTTACTAAAACAAAAGTTCTAAGTCAGCTTTGTGGTCCAACATTTTTTCTCCATGGTAAAAAATCAGTTTGGTGTTAGCATTAAGAGGATTAGATCCGATAATGCCAAAGGAAGGTATCATTCATGAGTCATCTTGTGTCAAAACACCTCAACAAAATGGGATTGTTGAGAGGAAAAATGGACACCTACTAGACCAAACTCGGGCTCTTCTTTTTCAACATAAGGTTCCTAAAAGGTTTTGGGGGGAAGCTGTTTTGACTGCATGTTATCTAATTAATAGACTACCTTCTAGTATTCTAGCCTCAAAAAGTCCTATGGAGGTTCTGTCTTCTTTCTATCCTAATGTGTCCACATCCAATCAACTTGTTCCAAGAATATTTGGGTGTGTATCTTTTATCCATGTCCACAGTGGTGATAGAGGTAAACTTGATCCTAGAGCCTTAAAATGTGTTTTCATAGGATACTCATCCACATAAAAGGGATATAAATGCTATCACCCACCATCCAAAAAAATTTGTGTCAAGAGATGTCACCTTTTTTGAGCAAGAAAGTTACTTCCACCAAGATCATCTTCAGGGGGAGAATACAAGAAAGGAAGATGATCTCCTTATGCTCCCTGACTTAAGTTTAGGACCAGAAGTAGGGACTAGAAGTGTAACAACTTCTGAGAAGGAGGCAACTTCTGAGAAAGAGGCTCAACCCACTAAGTCCACTCAAGATGGAGCTGATGTAAGATTTGGGAAAAAGCTGGTTTATACAAAGAAGACAAAGGCCATTCCAGAATCTGTCCATGTCCAAGAATCCAACCCAACATTACATGAGGTAACTACCCTTGATCCTTTAATCTCCACTGAATCAATCTCTGATTTCCCCACTGTACAGGAACCCGAATCCAGTTCAGCACCGCTTCATGAGGACCTAGATATTCCAATTGCCCTTAGGAAAGAGACTAGGAAATGCATCACCAAGCCACTTTACCCTCTAGCCAATTACCTATCATTTAAAAACTTCTCACCTACCCATAAAGCCTTCCTCACAAGCCTAAACACTACAACCACACCTACCTCCTTATCTGAGGCATTGACTGATAGGAAATGGAAACAAGCCATGGACTTGGAAATGGAAGCATTAAAAAAGAATAGCACTTGGGATTTGGTTACTCTCCCAAATGGAAAAAAAACCAGTAGGATGCAAGTGGGTATATACTATAAAATACAAGGCTGATGGATCCATTGAGAGGTATAAAGCAAGGTTAGTAGCTAAGGGATTCACTCAAACTTATGGAGTAGATTACATGGAAACATTTGCTCCAGTTGCAAAAATGAATACAGTTAGGGTGATACTATCCCTAGCGGCTAATTATGGTTGGAACTTGCAACAATTTGATGTTAAAAATGCATTCCTCCATGGAGAACTTGAAGAGGAGATTTACATGGAATTGTCCCCTGGATATGGTGGAAAAACCGCTGTCAACACTGTTTGCAAGCTAAAAAAGGCATTGTATGGGCTGAAACAATCACCACAAGCGTGGTTTGGTAGGTTTACTAAAGTTATGATAGGTCTGGGCTTCAAACAAAGTCAAGGAGACCACACTTTGTTCATTAAACACTCTAAGTCAGGGGGAGTAACAGTGTTACTAGTTTATGTGGATGATATTATAGTGACAGGTGATGATGAGGAGGAGCAACAACTGTTAAGCAAACATCTAGCCAAGGAATTTGAAATTAAGACCTTGGGAAAATTGAAGTATTTTTTGGGAATTGAAGTGGCTCATTCTAAAAAGGGAATCTTCATATCTCAACAGAAATACATCACTGATTTGTTGAAAGAGACTGGTAAGACAGCAGCATGCAAGCCTGCAAGTACACCAATTGATCCAAACCTGAAGTTGGGAAATGCAGAAGAAGATACTGCAGTTGACAAGGAAATGTATCAAAGACTAGTTGGTAGACTGATATATTTATCTCACACTAGACCTGATGTTGCATTCGCTGTGAGTCTAGTCAGCCAGTTCATGCACCAACCGAAGGAGGTTCACTTACAAGCTGCACTAAGAATTGTGCAATATTTGAAAGAGACCCCAGGAGAGGAATTTTGTTTGAACGGAATAGGAGTGTAAGTCTTGAAGCATATACAGATGCAGACTATGCAGGGTCGATTGTGGATAGGAGGTCGACTACAGGATATTGCACTTTCCTTGGAGGGAATCTTGTGACTTGGAAGAGTAAAAAACAAAGTGTGGTGACAAAAATAAAGTTGAATGAACCAATGAGACTTTATTGTGATGACAAATCTGCTATTAGCATAGTCCATAAACTAGTTCAGCAAGATAGAACCAAACATATTGAAGTTGACAGACATTTTATCAAAGAAAAATTAGACAGTGGCCTGATCTGCACTCCATATGTCTCCTCACAAGACAACCTTGCAGATATTCTAACAAAGGGGTTGAATAGCAACAACTTTGAGAAGATTGTTTCCAAGCTGGGAATGGAAAATACCTATTCACCAGCTTGAGGGGGAGTGTTAGAATTTGTTTTATTAGCTGTATTATTCCTTATCAGAATCAGTTTAGGTGTTATTGTATTTCCTAAAATAGCTTTCTAGCCTTGTATATATGACTGATGTATTCTCAGCATAAAATATATTAAAAAAATCAATTCATTCTACCCTAATTTTTGAGATAATTGTTTATTTCCTGAATATTATATATACCTTAAAAAGACCAATGGATAATAATATCCTGAAACACACTAGTTAGCTAAGATATACGGTAATCAGGAAACCGTTTTAAATTGCTAACTCATATGATTATGCCAAACCTATCAGTGCTACCATTCTACATTGATCAAGGTAAATGGAAACTATATGTGCTGGTTTAACAACCACCCACCCACCTTTTCCAACCTAGAAAAGAACACAAAGCAAAGCAATTTGCTTTACAAACCCCACCCAAATATTACAATTTTGCACAACAATTAACCAATCCATTGATCAATCATCGCATAAATAAGTTGCCTCCAACTAAGCATGTTATGACATTTAAGGGTGATAATTACCAGTATCAGCCGATGTTTGTGATACACATTGAAACCATGTATATTGACATGAGGGGCTTCCTTAAGAAATCCAATTGTTACAAAAAGTTCCTACAAAGTGAATCCAAGTAATAATATGAACATGAATAATTTATTATTTGAAGAAATGGGGAAGTATAGCTAAAATAAGATAACATTTCCTCAACAGCAAAAGATAATTATTCCTCTCCATTGATATATAATAATATATAATGAAAAACTTTTCAAAAGTTTGAAATAACCTCTACAGGTCCAGCACATTGCGGTGTATATTTGATAAATTCAACAAGTTTAAGATCGTCAGCAATGCTATGGGGCTTCACAGCTTGCCCTCTCAATATAATTTGGAAAGTTTTTGGTAACCGCAAGTACAGTATGGACAAGTACACCTGTGCAATATAAGAAAATTAGACTCCGTAAAATTCAACCTTCGATTCAGACCATAGGTACAACTTTAATACTTTAAGCATACACGTAATGAGTAACGAAATGTTTTCGCAATATGTTCCTCTTGGATTCTCTTCCGTGTAGGTATAGTACTGATCTTCTTGACATCCCAAGCAATGCGAATATCCTGCATATGAGAATAAATATATCCATGAGAAAGGAAAATTTCAACACAGGGCTAAAAAGAAAGCCAATAAAATAAAAATACAACCTTGGGATCTGTATCAAAATCTAACTCAGTAATCCCCTCATCATTGAACCACAAATTGTAGACAATAACTTTAGTACCGTAAGATCCCATGTTTTGAAACTGCATGAGTGATGAATATATAGTGAGCCGAAACAAGCTATAAGTATAAATGAGTATCATGTATTTTATATGCAATGTAATTGTGATATAAAGCTAGCTTAGAAAGTATAGTTGCTAGAAAATGGACTCAATAATTGATGTTGTTGAGAAGCTTCACTCAAACTACATAGTTGTAACTTGTAAGAGAGGGAAGATGGATGGCATCAGAATTTCCAACTTGCAAAGAGCGAGATGCTGGATAAATTGGAAGGGTAACGGACCACAAACATAGAGTCGCAGAGGGATTCTCTAAGTCATGGAAAGGACAGAATTGTCAGCGAATGACAATGACAAGGGAATAGTGTGCAACAATGGGCAGCGCATGGAAAAAACTGAGTGGTGGTAGACAAACTTAAAGCTCCCAGCCTCAGAGGCAATGAAGTCATTGGTTAGATGATTAGCAAGATTGAGTGTTTCTTTTATTTTTTTTAAAAGAGTACTAGATTAGCAAGACACCTTTAAAAAAGTAAAGTTTTCAGGAAATTCCACTAGGAGAAAAGATTTTTCTAGGTGGGGATCTAAATGGGTTGTAGGAAGTGCATCGAGAGGTTTTGAGGGCTTGCATGGGGGTATGGGAGGAGTTAAATGTGGGTAAACCCATCCTATATTTTTCGTCAACTTTTATTCATACAATAGCTAACTACTACAGCTAATACGTGCTTTAGAAAAAGGAGCAGCGCTTGATCACATACAAGAATGGGGTGCCATGTTCTAAAATAGATTTCTTTCTCATCAAGAAATCAATCAGAAAGAAAGATTTTGTAGGACCGTAAAGACATACCTGAAGAGAGCTTGACTACCCAACAGAGTATTGAATATGGATGTAAGGGTTAAGAGGAGAGCAGAGAGAAAAGGCCACAGTAGGATTCCACGGATCAAGTGGTGACATTTGAAGGGTGAAAAACAAAGAACATTCCAGCACAAGGTTTTAGCGGGAAGTTTTGAGGAGCTACGTGGAAGTGCAAATGATATGTGAGACAAGAAGGCCGAGGGGATTAAAAAAAGTAGCAAAAGAGACGTTGGGAGAATCTGAGGCTTTGAACCTACGGAAGAAGAATCTTGGTGGTGGAACGGAAGTGTGTAGAATAAGATTAAAACCAATAGGCACTTTGATTTAGGTGTTGCACACCATGTCACTTCACTCAAATAATTAGTATCTCAGCAAATTGGTTTAAACACAACAGTAAAACAATTACAATTTGGCATTCAAGAGTCATTAAATTGCAGTATAAAGACATGCCAAATTTAAGAAGAAAAAAGATCGAAAACAATAGGTATCAAATCACACAATGTGTGTGATGCTGGGCAGTTATTGCCTACAACAAGGAAAAAACAAGTATATTAATCATTGGTATGTTCTGAAAGAGTTGGCTGATTATCAGGGGTGGCAGGGAAACATAAAAACTGACTTGTTTCAGAAGATCGGCTTCGGATGAATATGGTGACCAACGCAACAGCAATTCTAAATTTGCCATAAAATGTTCTTTGCCATTTAACACATCCAGCGATGAAGTTGAGGTATTATACTCATAATTCACCTGAAATTGACAAGATTAGTTAGCAATGCCATTTGAAACTATTATAATCTTCAGTATATGAAAATTTATCAGCCGAAGAAAAATACAAAAAATGCATCAAATCATCATCTAAAATAACCCTTTTAGTATCCAGGCTTGATAAAGTTCAACTTTATATCGAAGAGTGAGGGTAACAAGGATCAAACTACTGACTACTTGGCCAAAAAGGCCTTGATACCATGTCATGAAGCTAAAGATAGACATTCTAAAATACCAAGTCTCAAACACTTTACATTTAACCCTCATAATGATTGACGAGAGGAAACTATAGAAAAGTGGGCCCACTAATATCTAGGATAACATTACTATGCCAATAACAAGTAACCAAATATGGTTGTCTTCTATAATATTATATAGTATGGCAGCTACTGACATCAGAAAGAGTAAATTGTATTGCAATGAGTGTTCAAGAAAGGAAAATAATAAAGAGAAAAAGGCCCCAGCTATGAAAATAATCTCTAGCCCCTGGCAATTCAGTTAACAGTCAGAATATCCCCAACATTCTTTCTCCCTTCCCTTCCTACAAAGCAACTTATAATCTCTCCATAACTTACATTCTTCCCCTCCTACACGAACATTGAGCCTCAAGAAATAGCCTTGGGCCGTCGAGTGTAGCCGTGTGACCCACTACCCCGACTGAGTTGATGACTGTCCGGGTTTGGTGAGATTGATTTGAATCAAAACCTTTATGAAGTAATAGAATGATAATTACCACTTACCATTGGTACTACTATTCTGTCAAGTTGTGTCTGCATCAGAAATGTATATGACAAAAGTCCAATGCTTTGAGTCAAAATCCTGATCCAGGTATAAACAATAAGAGAAGAGAAACAACATAACAATTTCACTTTTCCCACATAAATTCACATATTGCTGTCTATTTGCAAAGCCTTTTAGGCCTCAGTATCATGTGAAAAGAAAGGTTGTAATAATAAAAGTATATAAAATAAATTGGCATTGGACTACAGCTTCATGAAACAGAAAGTTAAATTCCTAATAGTAGAGAGCAGATTTTCTCTTATTTCTTTTAAAATTGTCTCCCTTAAAATTTAGATTGGGTCTAATTCAACCCTACAAAATCGGTTTATAAAGTGAGGACTACCCGCCACTTATAAACACATATCCAGATCACATCTCGTCCAATGTGGGACTTCTCAACTCACCCGCTCACACCCACGCCCGGAACTAGACACCTGATTTGTGACCCCAGTGACTCGGATACCATCTCAAAATGTGAGTTAGGCTTAACTCAACCAACAAAATTGGCTTATAAGGTGAAAAATGCCAACCCTTACAAACATGTATCCAAGTCATATCTCATTCAATGTGGAACTTCTCAACAGTTTCAACGCTATAAAACACCTTATTAGATATTCACATTTCTCTAAGGCTATAAACAAGAGAACAAAATTTGGTGTCTTAATTTTCAATTTTTCCAATCAGGGAGGGGGCAAAGTGGATTTTTTTAAAGAATAGATGAATTGGACACACATTTAATATGTACCTCTAAAAATGATCTAAAGGTGGATTCTTATCTTTTTTATTATACTAAAAATTCACTTTTTTACTAAAAATGGAAAGGGCCCACCTTTGATCCTTTTTGGAAGGTCTGTATTAAATGCACCTTTGTAAGCATGGCCTTCAGAATCAGAATGCAAATAATTAATAATAATCATTCTTTCTTGGAGATAGAGCAATGGTTGTATTTGTCATTTGTCAATACAGTAAGAAGCATATTACCTAGACCAAAAACATATCATAAAGTCATATATTCACTTTTTTAACCATACCCATTATTCAGATGGCGACTGAAGACTATAGCATCTGCACCAAGCCTCATACTGCTGGTCTTGAAGCCATTTCCATCTAGAACATCAAATTAAAAATAATATATAATACATGAGAGACTTAAGAGAATAACAAAATTATTGCAGATGTCACAATCCATACACTGTCCAATAGCAAGCTTTGAATTTTTATCTGAAAATCCAAAGCTCATGCAGCGACGCATTGCTTCCGGATCCATGCCACCGCCATCATCTGATTGCCAAGTGTTGAAACCAAATCAAAACAATTATAATGATCGTATTCAGTTGCAAGCATGTTTATTCGCATACAAGAAACTTAAAACCAAAATCACTTCCAACTACTTATATTGAAGAGTTCCAAAACTAGCCTACCTTGAATCAATAATGCAGGACTTCCATCTCTTGGATTTGAAATTTTATCTACACTGACAAAGGTAGCCCCATTTTGGATCTATCCTAAGAACAAATGCCAACCATGCAATATAAAGTACAAACAAAAATCAAAAGTAGTTGTGAAATAATGGTTCATAACAATGAAAAACATAGAAGTGTGAACAATAGATATTAAGGCTTTACAATAACCTATGCAATGACAATTTAAAATATTGGAATAAACACAAACCAAAGCTACTGAGACAGAAGAATAACCAGAAATACTGACACTTACAGAAGATGAACTATTTCTGGCACAGGGAAAAACAAGTATCACAAAGTATCACAAAGCAATAGACAATCTACTATTGGTTGGCAATATAGCTAATTCAGTATGCTACAAATGACAAAAGAAAACGGCAGACCAGCTTAATAGAGTATATCCTAAGCAAGCCTAAGAAGGCTACTAATTGTAACCGAAATGTTGAGACAGAAAATCCTTAGTCAGCATCTAGGCTAACAGCTTGTGTAACCAACTGACCTTGAGTCATTTAGATCCTTCTGGTATAATTACCAGAGTACAGTGTAATGTACAGTTAACAATTCATTCATCCAATACAAAGAATATTGAAAATAAAATTTCCCTTGTTTCCTCTCTCTATCTCATGAATTCTCTCCCATTTCCGCAGCTAATATAATAATAGTTCAACCAACAGAAATAATCACCTCATCAACAGCATTATCAAGAAGCTCTGCTAGGGCTGAAAACAGAAAAATGTACATGAATAATCACAAAGATAGGTGTAGCTATAGAGAAGGGACAAGTCTATATAGATGATTAGAATAAGAACATACCGCCAAATGCCCACTTGTGCGAAGTTGCATTTGAGTGAAGGAACATGGGGTGTACATGTAGATAGTTATTTCCATCTGCAACCCAAAAAGAATAAGAAATGCATAAGACTTCTAGAATGGACAAAACAAAACTCAATGAAATATACCTACAGGCAAAAAGCTTAGCAACTAGGATGTGATATCTGAAAACGCCAATCCGCCAAAGTCAAATGGAAAGAAAAATCTGTCAACACTTCCCAATGCATTAATACAAACATGGTTGGTAGAAGATTGTGCAGGGAAGTTAAAGCCGTGGAACCAAATAGTGAATTTATCAATTTCTAACACTCATATATATACCTTTAACTGACATTTGAGAACCTTGTCTGTCATCATAGCTCCCAGCTTTCCAAAACTGCCTGGAGAGGGGTGCGGCACAAACGGATGATGCATACGAAATGCCAGTATCATCAATTGGCGACGGTCCCTGCTCCAACACACTAGAATAACTATGACCTGTACTTGGGGCACTACAGCTTATATTTTCATCAGCATCATGTCTAGTCACCTGAGTTCGAGATTTCTCACATTTGACTAGTCTCCGATCACCACTCACGCGCTCTCTCTCTGCAGCCGTAACATACCCCGGCTCCAATTTAACCGCAATTGGAACGGCCTTTTCACTTTCATCATCACTAGACAAATCAACAATTTCCACACTCGCCATAATTATCCCTATAAACAAAGTAAATCATAAAACACAAAATTAGCATAGAAAAGCCACACAAAAAAAAAAGGAAGCAAATTAAACCAATAACATGCAAGTAAGTTAAGTTGATCAAACTACATTGGTAATTTTACATATAAAGTTGAAAGAACAAAACAAGAACAATAAATGACTTATAAAACACAAAAGGGCTTTGACGTGATTTCCGAAAAGAACAAGACAGTGATAAAACTTTGAAAGGAAACATGCAACATACGACAAAGAGTGTAAGTGCGTGAAGCGAATTGTAAACGGCATGAGAATGTGCGTTTTGAGTTAGGGTTTGGAACAAAATGCAGAGTAAAATTTAGAAACTTACCAGAAAATTTAAAAGGGGAAAGGAAAACAGATGAAACGGGAAAAAGGAAGAAAGATAGTTGGTGAAAGTGAAACCGAAGGGGGAGAGAGTGTGTGTCAAAAATTATAGGTTTAATGAGACTTTTGTCTTGGCATTTTGACCCATTCACTAAATTGGGTCTTTCTTTTTCAAATTAAACGAAATAGTCTCTATAATATGTTGTTCATTGCAAGTTTAGTCTTAAAGTTCATTTTCTCCTCTAAAAATGTAAATGTTGATGTGTTAAATATTTTAAGTGATGTGGTTAAAAAAACACTTATGTGACAATGTAAATCTGAAAATGTTAATTATAAATTCATTAAATTTATTTTTTAAATAGGACAAAAACATTAAAACATGTTCAGAAATTACATTTTCATAAATATCTCAAGTTTCGCTTGCTCTCTTCCTTCCCAAACACGAATATTTATCTTTTTCATTTCCTTTCTTCAATAAGATTCAACCATGGCATAGAATGACAAATAGCAGAATATGAAATACTGTTTTAGGTATGTAACATGTCAAATAAATTAGGGTTTTTTGTTCGATGGTTATTTTATTGAATATAAGTCTTACAAATTAGAGTTTTTTTTTGTTGTTGTCGTGGTGATATGCATAGGTCAAGTGATGACCACGAGTTAAAGATATGTATTAATCATCGGGGTAGGTTTGTATCTTTCCCTGTTAAAATGTGTGTGGAGGGTGTAGTCTATGAGATGGAAGGCGTTGTTGATGTTAATTGGGTGAATTATGAGGGCATTAAGAATCTGGTCCTTAGTGTTGGAGATACGAAGTTCAAGGGTTTGTGATATCAGCATCCAAAGTTATCATTTCAGCATGGACTTAAGCCTCTAAACATTTATGGTGGTCTGTTGGAGCTTATTTCAGATAGTAAAAGGTATAATTTAGTAGATATTTATGTTGAACATGAAGTGGATATTTCTGATGTAGTTGAAGTTTGTGATGAAGGTCCTTTGTATGATGAGATTAGGAATGATGAACTTGGAGCCAATTTTGATGTTGAAGAAGTTGTTATAGAGGAGGTTAGAGGTGAGTAAGAAGATGTCAACAATGAAGGTGTTAGAAGTGATGGAGCACAAGCTGAGGAGGTTAGAGGTGAGAAAGAAGATGTTATGGAGGATGCGGAGAATGAAAAAGTTATGGAGGATATTGAGAATAAAGGTACTGATGAGGTAAGAAATAATGACCAATGTGCTGAAGATACATATATTCGTTGAGAAGATGAAGACTATGTTGCAACTGAAGATGAAAGTGAAACTGACTTTGATATAATTGTTGATGGAGAAGAATGGGATTGGACACATAAAATGCCTACTGAGACATTTGCTGGAGAAAATAAAGAAGATGGAACCATGAATGAAACACAAGTTGTCTATGAAGAGTTTGACCAAGATTAAAGTGATTTACACACTCATGTTGAAAGTGATGATGAAGTTGTTCACAAAAGGAATTTTCCTACTTTCAAAGTTCCTGAAAATGGTGATGATGTTAGGTTTGAGATGGGTATGCAGTTTGCTTCAAAGGAACTTATCATGGATGTTATCAGAGATCATTGCTATGGAAACAAGGAAAAAATTATGGTTCAAGAAAAATAATGTTGCTATGGTGGTTGTGAAATGTCAACCAAGTTACTCATATCATATGTTAGTTACTAAAAGGAGTGAAAGTCAGTATTGACAAGTTACAAGTCTGAAAAAAGATCATGAATATGTTAGATTTGTTGGGAATAAATAAGCTAGAACTAAATGGCTAGCAAAGAAGTTTATTTCATTGATTAGGCACACTCCTCATATCAAACCTAGTGGATTTCCTGATGAGGTATTTCTAAGGTGGAATGTTAAGCTCAACCATTTTCAAGCATATAGGGCAAAAAAGGGAGCAATGAAGTGGATAAAAGGTGCTAGTAGTGAGCAATATGCACACTTAAGGAGTTATGTTGAAGTGCTTAGAAAGTCAAATCCTAATAGCATAGTGATAATCAAACGTGGGACATCTGAAATAGGACATGTTTTTAGAGGATTTATATTTTCCTGGAAGGTTGTAAGGTTGCTTTTACTTACACATGTAGACCATTAACTGAGTTGGATGCTTATTTCATGAAAAGTGAATATGGTGGTCAGCTTATAGCAACTGTAGGCAGAGATGGAAACAACCATATGATACTTATTGCATATATTATGGTTGAATCTAAAACAAGAGATTCTTGGAAGTGGTTTGTTGACCTATTGTTGGAAGATCTTAACTAACTTATCCCTAGACAATATGCACTTATATCTGACCAGCAAAAGGTATGTAATTGCCTATATGTGTATTTCAGCAATTACTTGTATATGTAACTGCAATTGCTTTTGGCATCTCACTATAGGTATGTGTACACCATTGTGTATGTTTATAATTTTGTGGCATCTTACTATAGGTTTGGCAGTTGAAAATTTTGTGTTTGTTGCAGGAAATCACAATGCCTGGCTACTTACTCCCACATTATACTACCCTCGAATGGACCAAGACTTTGGCCAGTAATAAGTTTTGAGTACATTAATCCACCAGTTATGAGAAGGGAACCAAGAAGGCCCAAAAAGTTAATGAACAAGTCTAATGATGATCCTAGAAAACTTGGTGTGCAACCATGATAGTTGAAGACACTGAAATGCAAAAAATATAACAAGTTTGAATATAACAGTAGGACATGTAAAGGAAAAAGTGTCGCTAACAGACAGATTCCAAAGGGAGGAAACAAGCACAAAACAAAAGAAAATGAGATGTTAGTTCAAGTGGGCCATCTGGTGTTGGGTGTAACACCCTTCTAACTCAACGAATAATTTCATGAATAATTTAATATTAAATCAAACATACATCACGACAAGGGTGTCACATCTTCATATAAACATCATATAACAAACACCCTGCTTCGTAACACGGGTTTTCAAAATCATTTATAACGAATACTTCATTAATAACAACAAGAACACTTCATCTACTCGCAGTAAAATTCAAAATTTCAAAACACCTTTATTAGAATACTTCATAGAAACTTCATCATATTTCATCGTTCATGATTCATAATTCAAATAACTTAAATACCATAAAAGATAGTTCAAAATCTCAAAATGAATAAAAGAACATAATTATTCCAATTAAATGATCCCAACCCTGATATTATATATCAAAGAAAGACTCACTTCATTCAATAGAAAATAAATAACACACTCTAAATTTATCCTCTAAGCTTCAACGAACTATTTCTGATCACCTGCAAGTTACCCACGTATCGAGGCAACATTTCTATGCAGAAAGGGTGAGTAATCATAAATCATTATAAAAGATATAAGGGATAATTACAGTAGTTACAACATATTAGCATGAAACCACATACCATCATACATCATATATCATACTCACTCTTTCACATCATTAATTAATTCATAGCATCATCATTAAGTTATCATCAAATCAACAATCATCACCAAGACATCATTAAGTTACACATCATCAAAACATCACTTAATCAATCATCATGTAATATCACAAAGAATGTAATGCAACATTATTGACTCATGCATGTGATACCAAAACTTCATTGATGACCAAGTCATCTTCCTCCAAAGACCCCCACCATAAGATCGATTCCCGCTTGGAACCAAAGCACTTCACAATATTGCACTCAATCCACACTATGGGATTGAGGTTATCACTGAACCAACATCCTATCAACATCACTGGACCAACTGTCCTAACATCATCACTAGACCAATATCCTAACATATGTCATGAATGCATTATGCACAACAACACAATAAAACATGACCACTGTTAGTCAAAACGCATCATTATTCATGTAATCATCACAATATCATCACATACTTTATAATACACACATCATCATAATAACAAAATCAATTCATCAGTACATATCCCAATTCATCACAAATTCTCATATTTTCATCATACAATAACAACACATCATAATGGACATCATATGCATCAATTCATGGTAAAATAACACCATAATTGCATCAATTTCCAACAAAATTATCATGTTATCATCATCAATCAAAACCCCAAACACAAACCTACAAATACCTAAACTCATACCAATCATAATGATAAGGATAACCCCTTACCTTATATTAGAACTAGAAATCTATTCTCCTCTGCATTCTACAGAATCCCTCTGAGCTCCTGTGCCCTAGCTCTCGTTCACTACTTCTTCCCAACTTTCACGATTGCACATAATGAAAACACTGACACATTTTTTTCCTTTTGTCAAACTTACTCCTTGGACCCCTAATATGGTATTCCACTTTTTCCCTTACTTAACCTCTTAAAACTTACCACCTTGTCCTTATAGTTTCTACATCACATATTATCTATATTTCACTAATCAAAATAATTCTAAATAATTACTCTAATTATCTAAAATTATTTAAAATATCCAATGTCTCTATATTTCTCATTATACCACATATAGCATCACATCACACATCATATTCATCAAAACATCATATATACTCGCAAATACTCATCATAAATTAATTAAATAATTAAATAATCTAATTATTTGGGGTGTTACATTGGGCAGAAAAAGAAGAAACATGAGGAAAAT